ACACCCAGATAAAAATATGTTCTGACTTGGGTTTTTGTTTTTTTGAGACAGGATCTTGCCATGCAGCCCTGGATGGCCTGGAACTTGCTACATGTAGACCAGGCTGCCTTTGAACACACAGAGACTCTTCTACCGCTGTCTTCCAAGAGTTGGGATTAAAGGCGTGCCCCACCGCACCCCAATGAAAATATGCATTTTGAGAAATCAAGACCATTCCTTTCAGAGAGGAAATATGATGAAAATGTGCATGCGAACCCCGGCTGCCTCCTCCCCACCACAACCAACCCCCACGGCCAATCCACGGCCTTAAATAGACTCACTCGGAGACCTAAAAAAGGGAAGGCATGGTGAAAATGTCCTTTAGCCAGGGGACAAATTTAGAGCAACCTCTTTGTGAGTGCACAGCATAGGCGGACGTCTAGTCCCAGATGTGTCTTCTCACCCTGGGTCCTAAACACAAAACAATGCCCCTCAACATTGTCATCCTTGAGAACAAAGGGCAATGACTCTCCACAATGGGCAACAAAAGGCTCTCAGAGTGGCTTTTTATACCCAAAGCCAAAGAAAGCCATAACCTGTGACCTCTATTCACCGCAGAAGAGCCTGACCGCTTTCCCTGCTTTTGTAACAGAGAACATCTGCCCAGTCTCAGAGGACAGCATCGCTCACGGCGACACGTTCCACACGAACAGAAGCATCCTCTTCACATGTGGCGGTCCCCCCAGAGCCTTCCTGGACTTGGAAACGTGCCCTTCTCAGTCATCCTACCCACAGCCTCCTAAGGGTGTGGGTTTTGTTTACCGCTTAAGCAAGGGAGGGATACTGCCCATGCAATGAGAAAGCAAGGCTCTTCCTAAGGGAAGCCGGCATGTTTGCGCTCCTCTGCTTTTAGTCTTTTTGTTTTGTTTTGTTTTTCTTTTTTAATTGTTTTTATTGCACTATACATTTTTCTCTGCTTGAGGCTGGAGAGATGGCTCAGTGGTTAAGAGCATTGCCTGCTCTTCCAAAGGTCCTGAGTTCAATTCCCAGCAACCACATGGTGGCTCACATTTTTCTCTGCTCCCCTCCCTTCCTCCCCTAACCCCTTCTACTCTATCCCATGACCCCCACTCTCCCAATTTACACTGGAGATCTTGTCTTTTTCTCCTTCCTATTTAGATCCACGTATGTCTCTCTTAGGGTAATCTTGTTTTCTAGGTTCTCTGTGGTTGGGTTGTGGACTGTAGGCTGGGTTTTCTTGGCTTTATGTCTAAAAGCCATTTTAAGTGGGTACATATTATGTTTGTCTTTCTGGGTCTGGGTTACCTCACTCAATTTTTTTTCTAGATCCATCCATTTGCTTGCAAATTTCAAGATATCATTATTTTTTACTGTTAAGTATCAAGACAGGGTTTCTCTGTGTAACAAACAGTCTTAGCTGTCCTGGAACTAGCTCTGTAGACCGGGTTGGCCTTGGATTCACAGAAATCTGCTTGCCTCTACCTTACAAGTGCTGGGATTAAAGGTGTGTGCCACCACAGCCCAGATCTTCCCCCACCCCCCTAAAAGATAGGCTTTCTTTTTTCTTTTGGTTTTTCGAGACAGGGTTTCTCTGTAGCTTTGGTGCCCGTCCTGGAACTAGCTCTTGTAGACCAGGCTGGCCTCGAACTCCCAGAGATCTGCCTGCCTCTGCCTCCCGAGTGCTGGGATTAAAGGCGTGCACCACCACCACCCGGCCAAGATAGGTTTTCATTATGCAGCCCAGGTTGGTCTCAGACTCACAGAGATCTGCCTGCTGCTGCCTCCTGAGTGCTGGAATTAAAAACATGCGCCACCACACCAGGCTACTTTTTAGTCTTACTATGCACAGAACAAGAGAGCATAGTAGAACCCACCATGTTGACATTGAAGAAGCCATGTATTGTTATCCAGGACTGGAGATGTGTCATTACGAATAGAAAATGGAGTATTTTATGACCAGGTTTCTAACAGAATAGGAGTTGCTTTGAGGGTGTAATATAAGCTATTAACAACAGAAAGAAGGTGCTGGAAGCAGCTTTGGAGCAGGTCTTCCCAAACCTGCACTGTCTTGTTCTCTCCAGTCACAATGAACTTCTTCCCTGGGCAGGGTTTTAAAAGGAAAGGCTCAAGTGCTGTTCCCTCTCACCTGACCCAAGTGGGCTTGTAATAACAAATTACATCCCAAGGGCTGGAGAGATGGCTCAGTGGTTAAGAGCACCACCTGCTCATCTAAAGGTCCTGAGTTCAATTCCCAGCAACCACATGGTGGCTCACAACCATCTGTAATGAGATTTGGTGCCCTCTTCTGGCCTGCAGACATGCATGTAGGCAGAATACTGTATAAACAATAACCAAATTACATCCCAGCATTGAAGAGTTCAACGAAGATATTTTCTTTTCATTATATGTAACTAGGTGACAAGGAAATAAAAGTAAAGTGTTTGCAAGCTTGAAGATTGGAGTTTGACCCACAGAAGCCAAGTTAACAAGCCAGGCATGGTGGTGTGTGTTTGTACTCCTAATGCTGGGGAAGTGGGGAGGGTCCCTGGGAATCCAACCTACTTGATGAGCTCCAGGGCCGGGGAACAATCTTGTCTCAAAACCAAAACCAAAGGTAGATAGTATCTGAGGAGCAATGCCAAACGTCCTACACACACACACACACACACACACACACACACACACACACACACCCCAGAATTACCAGGGAAGCAACATTACATTATGGACCAGATGAGAGTAACCTCATGAAATCGCCACATTTTACTAAAAACAGTCCAAGACCTTCTAGCTTGCTCACCGTCCAGATTTACCGCATCTTCCAAACAAGAGGTCTAACTGCTACTCACGTCTCTCAAGATTTTGGATTGTTTCCAGGAGTACCTAACCTCATCCTTGGAAGAGTTCTGCTGTCTTCATGGTACATATCATCACAGATCGCCTGCCTAGCTCCACATGGAAGTTCCTGGGAGCCTGGTTACTCTGCCCACATGCCGTCTAGAGTTAACTTGTTGAAAACCGTGTGATCTATTGTCCCCATGGGTTCAGAAAGCGAGAGCGCATTTAATGCGTGGAAACTATGTTGTGATGTTTCCAGGTAAACGAAAGACCTTTTTAGTACAGTTGTTGCTGGCAGAGGCAAACTTTTGAGACCTCTTCTTGCCCTCTTACACTCTTCCTGATTTTTTTTTTTAAATCCAGGTTTCCACAATCAGCCTGGATGACTAGACCAAATGCTGCTCATTCAACCAGGTTGAAATTCTGAAAGAGCAACTGTGCAGCCATAAATCTGCAACACGTTTCTCGAAACAGTTAAGTACCATCTCCTCTCTTCAACTACCTCCCTGGGAATTTGGGTTTATAACAACGTTACCGACAGCAAGCAGGAACAACTCCTAAGTCCAGCAATTTGTGAAAGTACAAAACCAAAACTAAACAGGGCTGGGATGTAGCTCAAGGCAGAACACTTGTGCCAGGCCCTAGGTTCCTGCCCCAGGACCCCAAAACAAACCCCCAAACAAGAACGTACTGGCACACTCATTAAGCCAAATGCTATTCAGCAGTAATAGGAATGAGAAGGGTGCTGCCTGGCGCTTTCTCGTGTATAGACCAAATGATGCTAAGACAGACACAAATGCCCGTAAAACTCGAGAGGCTGGAGTTGGGGTCGGAGTGGTGATGACTGACAAGGGAGAGGGCATGCAGGGTCTCACTGTGGTGATGAAGGTGTTTTAAGGCTGGTGGGGTTAGACATACAGTTACATGGTAGAATACTTGCCTTAGGCTTGTAGTGATGCATTTCCTAAAAAGTATTGAACCAAACACACAGATGATCTTTATGGTATAAAAAGTATATGCCTCAAAAAGCTGTATTTTTTTTTTAAGCTAAAGGGAACGAACTGGGTGTGGTGGCAGAGGTGGAGGCTGAAATAGGAAAATTAGAATGCAAAGTTGCCCTTAGCTACATAGAAAGTTTGAGGTCAGCCTGGGCTACATAAGACCTCTTATCGTGTGTGTTTCAAGACAGGGTTTCTCCATGTACCCCTGACTGCCCTGCTACTCACTCCATAGACCAGGTTAATCCCAGACTCACAGAGATCCACCTGTCTGTTTCCCAAGTGCTGGGATTAAAGGTGTGCGCCAACACTGCCCCGCTTATTTTAAGGAAAGAGAAAAGGAAGAAAGGAAGGAAAGAAGGAAGCAAGCAAGGAAGAAAGGGAGGGAAGGGAAGGAAGGAAGGAAGGAAGGAAGGAAGGAAGGAAGGAAGGAAGGAAGGAAAAGAAAGGAGGGAGAGAAGGAAGGAGGGAGGGATAAGGGACAAAGGAAGGGAGAAAATGAATTTTTCTGTTTGCTTTTTTGTTTGTTTGTTTTGCTTTGCTTTGTTTTTAAGGAACTGAAATTTCAGAGCCTCTAAAATGTGAAAAACAAAAACAAAAAAACTGTTTGCTACAAGAGAATCATGCTTTGGATCTCCGGCTGGCCTGGAACTCACCGTGTGGAAGCAGCCTGGCCTGGATTCACCTGCTTCTCCCTCCTGAGTGCGAACATGGGAACTGAAGGCACCACCACACCTGGTGAGGGTTTCTTTTTTTTTTTTTCTTCTTTTCTTTTTGTATTTTTCATTTTCTTATGTTTTTGAGATAGAGACCTGTTAAGTAGCCTAGACTTGCCTCAAACTGCCGTGTAGCCAAGCTGTTCTTATATTGTCAGCAATCCTCCTGCCTCCTGCACTCCCACAAAAGGACTGAACCTAGGGCCCTCACGTGCTAGACAAGGTCTCCACTCCCCCTCCTTTTTCTTTTCTAAATTAAATTTTATTGCCTCTAGTTATGACAAACATCCAGCCAGAATACTGGACAGAAAATGCCACTGGAGAAGGGAACATCTGAGTGCTAGACTTGAAGAGCGAACCAGGCTAGGAGGGGGAGGTGGGCTGGGGGCGGAGAGGAGGAGCTAGCCAGGAAACTATGAGAAAAAGCCAAATTGGTTTGTTTTTTGTTTTTAAGTAGGAACACTTCACCAATTTGTGTGTCATCTTTCGGCAGGGGACATTCTAATCTTCGCCTCATTCCAATTTTAGTACATGCAATGCCAAAGAAAACAGAGCCACAGGGCTTTAGAAAAAAAAAAACAGCCACCTGCCCCTGAGTTTGATCTGTTCCAAAGAGTGAGGAGACTGGGGGCTTCAGACAGAGGGACTCATGGGATTGAAAAGGGACTCTGGCTAAAAACTGGATAGAGAGGGCAGGGACGGACATAGTGAGTAGTGGAATCTAGTCAGAGTGAAGACGGCTGAGCCTCAATCACTGTGCAGAGGAAGCTTTTAGACTATGCCTGGCATTGTAGGCCTGTAATAGTTGCTTAGGAGGAGGAGACAGGAGGACGACAAGTTCAAGGCCTGCGTGAGCTCCAGAGTGAGTCCCAGCACGGCCTGGACAGCAACAGTGTGACCTTGTTTCAAAAGGATATAGCTCAGTGGTAGATTAATTTGTCTAGAATGTTCTAACATGTTCAAAGTCCTGGGCCCCTTGCTCAGGACTACAAAAACAAAAACAAAAAGGAATAACCAAGGAATGATGATGGGACAGGCAAGTCCCTAAACTCTGTCTTGATCAGTTGGGCCCAATGACCCAAGGTTGGCACAATGCAGTGGCCAGTTCAATCCTCTCTCTCTCTCTCTATTTTTTTTTTTTTTAAGGAACTGCGATTTTATCTCAGTGATAAAACACTTGTTTAGAATGTGTGAAGCCCTTGGGTTCAATCCCCAGTACTTGACCAGAAAAAAAGAAGAAAAAAAAAAAAGCACTCATTTTTAAATTCAGATCTTCTGAAATCTGAATTTTAAAAGCAGCGGCCTGGAAAGTTTCTGTTTCTGCTGCAAAGGGGATTCCTACAGCCAGGCAAGCTTTAGCAAACAACAACCCATCCCATTCACTCATCCATCCATTCATCCATCCATTCATTCACTCATTCATCCATCCATCCATTCATTCATTCAGTGTCTAAGTAAGTATCAGCCAAACAAAGACAACTCAAAGCTCCCTGAAGCCCGACTGCCCCTTTCTTGTGGTGATGGAGATGACAGAGCTCAAATAAAGCCAACATCTCTCCCCAACAAGGACTGGTGAAAGCAGGTCCTAAAGGGTGAACATGGGAAAGGGAGCTGATGTGACGGATGAGCACAGTCCTGGTTTTCTGCCTCGGTGGCATGGAGAGTCAGCAAGCGTGAGTACTGCCCTGGCTGGCCTGGAACACACTATGTGTATTAGGCTAAACTTGAGCTCTCAGAGATCTGCCTGGCTCCACCGCCATGCCTGGCAGCACGGTAGAACTTTCGTGTTTTAGTCTCCCAGGGTGGCTATAACAAATCGCCACAGATGGAGTACTCTAAAACCACCGACATTCCTTTTCTCACATCTCTGGAATCAATCCCACCGTTGGAAATCACCATGGCTGTTGCTCTGCTCCTCACTGGGCTCTGAGGAAGCTCTTTCTAGCTTTTGGAGCTTCGCTGGTTTGGGGTTCCGGCATGCTAGGGATTGGACTGGAGCCCTTACAGATGCGCCGCTGCTGGGCTACCCCTGAGCTCCCCGTTTGGTTTTAGCTCGAGGCTGCAGAACTCTTTTGGCCTCTCTCTCTCTTCATATGGCCTCCACGCATGCCTGTTTCTCTCTTTCATCTCTTAGAAAGACACATGTCATCGGCATTGGCACCATCTGGTAAAAGCGGAGTGATCTCATTTCAAGATTCTTAATTATATCTACGAAGATGCTTTCTCCAAGTTAAGATCATATTCACAGGCTCCTGAAGTTAGGACAATTGTTTCTTAAGGTGGGGGGTGATGGTCTTTATTTTATTTTAATTATCTAACCAAGCACCAGGTTTCTTTAAGGAGTCTTTATATTTAGTTTTGGTTCATCTCCCCACCTCCTCTCATCTCCCCAACCTTCATCCCAGTGTGTAGACCCTTCCACCCCTCTATTCCTCCCTCCCCTTCCATGTCACATGGTTTATTACCCACCCCTCCCCTAAGGCTTTTTTTTTTCTTTTTTGCCCCCCTCATGCATCTGTTTCTAGTTCCTCTCCCACAGTTGGGATGTTTTCATTCACTTCTGTGTTCTGGAACAAGTTCATGCCCAGCCAGCCTGGCCTTGAACCCTTCAACTTTTGGCCTCAGCATCCCAGTGCTGGGGCTATAGGAAGGATCACCAGGTATGAGTTTTTTTTTCCTTTCTCTCAATGTAGCCCTGGTTGGCCTGGAACTCACAGAGATCTTCCTGTCTCTATCTCCTGACTGCTGGGATTAAAGGTGTTTACCTCCACACCCGGATGATTTTTAAAATAATGTTTGTAATCATGTATATGTGTTTGGATCTGTGTGTGGGTGTGCACAAGAATGTACTCTCTTGTCTCCCTTTTCTTCTCAAATAGTGCCCTAGCCATGCAGTGTTTTGTTTTGCTTTGCTTTTTATTTATTTATTTGTTGACACAGGGTTTTTCTGTGTATCCCTGTCTGTCCTGCAGCCTGCTCTGTAGACCAGGCTGGCCTCGAACTCAGAGACCCACCTGCCTCTGTCTCTGCTGGCATTAATGGCATTAATGGCAACCACTGCCCAGCAAGATGCAGTGTTTTACGATACACAATTCAAACCACTACACCGAGCAATTTTAAACTATCAGACAGGTTCATATGATGCTCCTTTCTCACAATGATGGGTTTGAAATATGAGTTGGTTAAAAAAAAGAAAAAAAAAAGAAATACAAGAGTTGGAACTGGGGCTGAGTTGATAGAGTGCTTGCCTGGCAAAAGCAAGACCTTGATTTCAACCCCCAGTACGACAAATAAATAAATACATAACAAACTAGAAATAAGTTCTTCATCCAACGTACATAATGTGTGTTGAGCTAATCTCCCCTCCTCCATTCCTTCCTTCCAATTCCTCCCCAGCCCCTCCTACCACTTTTCCCTGTCTCGAAACACCACAAAACAAAAGGAAGCCTTTTTTGGTTTTATGTTTCCGGAAGAAAACATTCAGAAAATGGCACACACTAAAAATTCAAGTCATCCAAGGAAAGACGGGAGGAAGTCCCTGCTTCCAGGCTTTGTTAACGAAAACACAGCAGAAGCGAGGAGGCCGCTTCCTCTGCATCCAACCCCGTGCGGTGGAGCCGCCCATAATGTTCATTAGAGTCCTTAATCCACGCGATGATTATACATTTGATGCATTTCATCTGAACGACGCTTATCTCATTAACTTCCAGATGACTCACCCTATAAACCTCTGGCCATCACCATTCCCGCCTGAGTGGGCCATGTGCTGCCTTCCAGCTGACATCACTGGAAACCTTGAGTCTGTACCAAAGCTGCCCTGGGCCTCCATGACCTTTCTCCACAATGCGCAGCGGGGCTGGACTTCTCAAAGCTCAGAATATTCACGTCTGCTGCTCCAGCCCCCATGCAGGCTACTGTTTGAGCTCAGCCCATTCTTAGATGTTTATGAATACCCTACAGCAGCCCCATTGAAAATCAAGAAACGGATTCTGGCTTTCAAAAACTTTCCTAGGGCCAGTGAGCTGGCTCGGCAGGTAAAAGTGCTAGCAGTCAAACCTGACGTTTTAATGCAATCCTCAGATCACAATTGGCGGAAGGAGAGAACAAACTCCCACAAGCTGCCCTCTGACCTTCATTCACACTTGTGTTCTGATGTATTCCAAGCCCACTCTTGCACACTCACATTCACATGCAATACATAAAAATGTAATAAGATTTTTTAAAAGCTTTCATGATCTGCTCCAGGATTTCAGGAAGCCCCGTGTGTCTGTTTGCTTCAGAGAAGGCCAGCAGGGCAGAGGGAGCCTGTCACTACCTCACGCTGATGCACAGATGACCTTGGAAAAGTCACCTGAGAAAAGTCTTACCTTGATGGCCATGTCTGCACAGGTTCCTACGGTTCCTATGGGATCTGCAGTTGCCTCATCCCCCTGTAGCAGCACACCGGACCACCCAGATGCTGGAAAAAAAGAAAGCACATTTGAGCCAAGTGGATTTGTCCCAACCGATGGGAAGCTGCAACAGCTGCCATTCTGCAGATTCGAAACCCACGTGACCTGTAAGGGAACCCAGTGGTAGTGAACTTGTGGCTCCAAATCTGTCTGGTGGTCTCTGGTTGCTGGCAAAGCTTTGTTGCCAAGACACAGTCAGCTGGCACATCCTTTGTTTTCACTGAATTTCCAACTTCGGAGTCCTATACAAGCCCTGTATCTTTTTGCTACTGTTTGAGACATGGTCTTGGGTAGCTCAGGTTCACCTGAAGCTTGCTTTGTAGCAGAGGCTGCCTGAGCCCCTTGTTTCCACCCACCTGCCTCAGGTCTGGTATTACAAACCTGTACTACCAAGCCTGGCTTCGACTGTATTGTAATCCCAGAATCTAGAAGAGATTAGGATGATTTTCATAAGCATACATGCCTCATAATGAGGCCTCACTTGGGACACAGAGTGAACCTCCAAGCACAGAAATACACACATCTAGTTCAGTACCCGGTAGAAGTGATTCCAGTGCTGGGCATGGTAGGCCATACCCTCAATCCCAGCACTATAGGATGCTGAAGCAGAGGGCTTATGAGTCTCCTGGCAGCCTGGAATAATAGCAAGGTCAAAATCAGTCTAGATTGCTTACTAAGTTCCTGTCTCCAAACATTAAAAAAACAACAACCCGCAAAGCAACAACAAAATGACTCTAGATTAGTTCCCCTTTTCAGTTCCGCATACGTACCAGAAATACCTAGTCCTTTACTGTCATATTTATTTATTATTTATTTTAGTTTCATGGTTGCGAGACAGAGTCTTGCTATGTCTTCCAGACTACCCTGGAATTCTTGATGTAGCTCACCTGGCCTCCAACTCTCAGCTACCCTCCTGTCAGCGCTGGGGTCACAGGTGTGTGACCCCATGACCAGCCTGTTCGTTCCCTACATTGTCAGACTATCTGTGAATGTAGATATTTGGCAAGAGACAGTTTCAGGACAAGGTGGAGATGGCAAGGCATGGCCATAATCCTAGCTCTACAGAGGCAGTAGCGGGAGGATTGTCCCGACCTCAAAGTCTACTTCAAAGGTAAACATAGCAAGCTCTACAAAGTGAGTTCCCGGCCAGTCAGGGACACAGAGTGTCTCATGCCCCCTCCCCATTAATAGAGTGAGAGAAAATGGATGTGGCATTTTAGCTTTTGAAATGTCAGTAGTGATAAGAGGATAGACGTACTGATGTCCACAGAGGTCAGAAGAGGGCATTGATTCCGCCGGAAATAAAATTACAGATGGTTGTGAGCCACTAGCTCTATAGACCAGGCTGGCCTCGAACTCACAGAGATCTGCCTGCTTCTGCCTCCCAAGTGCTAGGATGAAAGGTGTGTGCCACCACCGCCTGGCTGCAACAAGTACTCTTAACCACTGAGTGATTGCTGTTTTTTGATAAATGTTATGTCAGTCAGGTTGCCTTCTTCGTATTTGTATCAATGGCCATAAATAAATCAGCTTTGGTCAGAAAAGTTTCTTTTTTGAAGTGGGTCACAGTAAACTGGTCAAAATACTGCGAGTAAGTAATTGCTGAATTCTCTTGCCTAAATCAACATCTACATCACTCCTTCCAAGGGAACATCACGGAAGAGGAGGAGGGAAGAATGGGCGCGTTGGAGAAAGGGCCCCGGGATGTTGGGGAATGCTGACTCCCATGCATGAGATGATCACAACACTCACAGCAGTTGTAATGACAAGACCTGTACACAGCTGGGTGGGTCAACATCCCACCACGGAAGAGGTAGAATCTTACAAGGCTCCACTCCATCCTGAGGATCCACAGGCAGTTGATGGTTGCAGAGGGAGGGAGAGACATTTTCTTCAGTGGTGTAGCCACTGGTAAATGCCTAAGATGCAGTAAATAATCTTTTATCCATGCTAATGTGAATAACACCAATTAAACTCAATGGTTCACATACAAGGCGCAGGTGTGTGTGTGTGCACATGCACACAAACACACACACAAAGTAAAGAAAATGTGGTTTCCTCATCACAGGGGAAAGGAAGAAGTGTGTCTAGAAGAGGAAATGAGCTTGAAAGAAGCTGGAACAAAAAGTGGGGATACTAAAAAGGACTTTTGAGAAAACTGATGTCCACAGACCAATGTTAAGTTCTCGTGAGGTGTCACGATGCATTTGTCTCCTGTGCTCAAAACTGCAGTGGTGACCTGTTCTTCACTGCTCTCTTATGTGGCGCTGTCTGGTGAAAAATGAATAAGGTCTTAAGAGTCAAGATAGAGAGAAGAGCACCTGTGTATACATAGGAACTCCCAAGTATGTAGACTCCTAAGAAGACCATGTGGTAGCAATGTCAGAAGGTACTCAGCCACACTCTACACAGGATAGGGCTACAGGGCAACTTGATTTGAACAGTAGAGAGAAGAGGACCCCGTCATGATGAGGACTCAAAGATGCAAGACAACTGACAGCCTTCGTGGAGTGACGCTTATCCATCTGAGCACACCACTTCCATTTTCAGAATGGTGACTGTCATCCTGCCGGGGTGTAAACACATCATAACACCACTGGGCAGGAGGAGAAATTGGGATGTTTGTCTGCGAGCCCTTTGGCTCTAGTACGCTGTCAGAGACTTTCAACATCTGCTTGCGTGTCAAGTTCCAGAGAAGACTCTGTATCTCACCAAGAGCCATGATTTATTACCATTGCACAAAAGCTCAGATAGCTCAGATGTGGAACGTGAAAAGACACCCCAGATGCACACGCCGCTATTATTAGTTATGAGGACACAATCTCCCATTATATGAGAAACATATCTGAATAATTTGACCTAAGTTGTGAATTCTATTAGACATGCATACGCACGCAAACACGTGTTTCTATATAAAGTGATCCTAGCTTTCGCTTTTTGAGATAGGGCCTCATTTATAACTCATGTTGGTCTAAAATTCACTATGTAGATTAAACTGATCTCAGCTGAGGTTGAAGCAAGCCTCCTGCCTCAGTCTCCAGGTATTAGCATGTGCCAACAGGCCCATCTCCATAAACTACTTTTTTCTATTTTGTATTAAAATTATTTTATTGGGACCTTGGGAGCTCAGTCCAGTGCTCCAGTGTGGGTCTCTGTCTCTATCTCCATCCATCACCAGATGAAGGTTCTATGGTGATATGAAAGATATTCGTCAGTAATGCTATAGGATAGGGTCAGTTCAGGTTCCCTATCCTCAGTTTCCCAAGGGACTAACTGGGGACATCGCCTTGGGCTCCTGGGAGCCACTCTAGGTTCAAGTCTCTTGCCAACA